TTCTTGACAAGCTCAAGGCTGAGCGTGAACGTGGTATCACCATCGACATTGCTCTCTGGAAGTTCGAGACTCCCAAGTTCATGGTCACCGTCATTGATGCCCCTGGTCACCGTGATTTCATCAAGAACATGATCACTGGTACCTCCCAGGCCGATTGTGGTGTTCTTATCATTGCTGCTGGTACTGGTGAATTCGAAGCTGGTATCTCCAAGGATGGTCAGACCCGTGAGCACGCCTTGTTGGCCTTCACCCTCGGTGTCCGTCAATTGATCGTTGCCATTAACAAGATGGACACTACCAAGTGGTCCGAGGCTCGTTACAACGAAATTGTCAAGGAAGTCTCCTCCTTCATCAAGAAGATCGGTTTCAACCCCAAGTCTGTTCCCTTTGTCCCCATCTCCGGATGGCACGGTGATAACATGTTGGAAGAATCTGTCAACATGGGTTGGTTCAAGGGATGGACCAAAGAGACCAAGGCTGGTTCCAAGACCGGAAAGACCCTTTTGGAGGCCATTGATAATATCGAGCCCCCTGTCCGTCCTTCCGACAAGCCTCTCCGTCTTCCCCTCCAGGATGTGTACAAGATTGGTGGTATTGGAACAGTTCCCGTCGGTCGTGTCGAGACTGGTGTCATCAAGGCTGGTATGATTGTCAACTTCGCTCCTTCCAACGTCACCACTGAAGTCAAGTCCGTTGAAATGCACCACGAACAGCTCGTTGAGGGTCTTCCCGGAGACAACGTTGGTTTCAACGTCAAGAACGTGTCCGTCAAGGATATCCGTCGTGGTAACGTCTGCTCTGACAGCAAGAACGACCCCGCCAAGGAGTCTGGTTCCTTCACTGCCCAGGTCATCGTCTTGAACCACCCTGGTCAGATTGGTGCTGGTTACTCTCCCGTGTTGGATTGCCACACTGCCCACATTGCCTGCAAGTTCGCTGAGTTGCTCGAGAAGATCGACCGTCGTTCCGGTAAGAAGTTGGAAGATGCCCCCAAGTTCATCAAGTCTGGTGACTCCGCTATCGTCAAGATGGTGCCCTCCAAGCCCATGTGTGTTGAGGCCTACACTGACTACCCTCCCCTTGGCCGTTTCGCTGTCCGTGATATGCGTCAGACCGTTGCTGTCGGTGTCATCAAGGCTGTTGAGAAGGTTGACAAGTCTGCCAAGGTCACCAAGGCTGCTGCCAAGGCTGGCAAGAAATAAGCTTTTTATTTCTAAAGTAAAACCCATTCTCTCTTGTGGTTTTGTATCAATCCAGATGTTCATAATAAATAAAAAAGTAAGAACAATTTGATATTGAAATTAGTACAAGTGTTGTTGAGTGTAGTGAATGAGAGAATAAGGATAGAATTCTCTTTATTCATTGATATTAAATATTACTGGTATTGAGTGAATAATGTAAAAGGCTTCTTGGGAATTCTTTTGGGTAAATGACTTGTTGCTTTCTGGTCCAATCTTCTATTCTATTGTGTGAGTCAGCTCACTTTAGCTTCAAGTCAAGCCGTAATCCTATAAACCCAAGAGAAAGAAAGAAAGAGATTGATTACTATAGTGATTTCAAAAGATGATATTCTACAGCCACCCTCAATTGAATTTAATACTTGCCTAAATCTTAATAAGAAAAACCTTTTTTTTTTTGCATAAAACTCTTATTCTTTCCAAATAGTGTTAAACCAACACTACATGTCAGATAGATGTTCAGAAACTCACACTCGTAGAGAATACAAAAAGGTTAAAGATGGAAGATGGCAGGGCATCTATTACCTGTTCACAACAGGATTAAAGTCGATTGTGGTTGTGAGTGTGACAGATGAAAACATCCGTAGTTCAAAATAGTATCAGAAACATCAAAGAACGTGGATCAACATTACGTTTGAAGAACGAATGGTGATCAGTGGAGAGGTGTTATTTGGTCTGATGAGTCTAGATACACCGTGAAAGGGAACGATGGAGGTGCTCGTGTCATCAGAATAATTGAAGAACGTTATGGTCCTAATTCTATTGTTCCAGCAACGAAGTTTGGTGGTGTTGGGGTCATGCTTTGGAGCTGTTTTTGTACGGGTAAATTTGGCCCATGAGTCTTTGTTGATGGCACTGTAAACCAAGACGAATATATCAAGGTTATGACTAGTGAGTTCCATTATTGGTTCATGGAATTGCATCAGAAAGAGGATAGGGAGTTTCTGTTACAAGAAGAGGGTGCTAGTTGTCATACTGGGGCCTATGCCAGAGGGTGGAAAGAGACGCATCAAATTAGGGGCTTTGAGTACTGGCCCACACAAAGTCCTGACTTGAGCCCAATTGAACATATCTGGTGGGCCTTGGAAAAACGAATTGAAAAAAAGAAGGGTATCTATCACTAATGTTGGAAGTTTGAAGGCTCTACTTGCAGAGAAGCGGGAGAGGGTCAGTGTTGAACTTGCACAACGATGAGTTCAAAGTATGACAGATAGATGCCAGGCTGCCATTGATGCCAAAGGAGGCCATATAAAACATTAACTGTATTATTATTTTATTTTCTATAATTAAATATGTTGAGCTTTGGTATGCTTAAGTTTGAAGCTTCTATATCAAATGTAAAGTATCTTATTTAATGTTGAACATGTCCTATACAGTCCCAGGCAATAAATGAGTGGATGGCAAATCTTTTATTTTTTCATAACACTTCGTTTCTTATAATGTCTCACTCATCCAACACTGAAAATATTTTTATCAGAACCCCTGAGATGTATTGAACAGATAATAACACTAAATATATTCCAGCCATCTTAAACTAGGTGCTGAATATAAACTCTACACTAGTTGAGGCACCTTACCTATTCAACATACTTTCTTCCACTGTGAAAGACATAGTAAAGCACTAAAATATAAACAACCAAGCTAGATACTCACCCAAGAGTGGCAGAAAGAGAAAACTCAACAATAGAGCTCTCAGATGGTTGAGAAGAACAGTAATGAGGGATTCCCAACAGACTAAAGAGGCCATTATGGCAGACATGGCCATCAAGGTATCAAGACCGACCTTGAAGAAGCACTTTGACAAAATGGGATTCCATCCATTCAGTCTTGTAGTCATGCCTCTTTTGATAAAGAATAGCATAAAGATAAGACTTCAGTGGGTCTGTGAGTATGTTAGTTAGACCCATGACCAGTAGCAGCAGATAGTGTGGTCTGATGAGTCCAGAGTCGAGCTCATGAGCTATGACAGGGAGTAGAAATCATCAGGCATTATGGCACAACCTTTGAGCCTAATAATGCCATAGAAACAGAAAAGTTTGGAAGTGATAGAGTGATGGTTTGGGTTGTTTTAGTGGAGAGTAGTGAAGGGTAGAATACTTCGACAAGTACATCAATGTCTTGGGAAAAGCCTACTGCTATGAACCCGAGCGTCTCTCTCACTCATAGATCCTAAAGCCAGTTACCGCCTACAGGATGACAATGTTAGATCTCATACGAGTAAGACAACTCGAGAATGGAAGGCAGCAAATAGTGTGAAAACTATTCCTTAATGGCCCTAACAAATTATTGATCTCAATTCAATTGAATACCTGTAGAACTACTTCAAGAAAGTTATTAGGAAGGTTGAGAGTGTATATTCCACGAAAAAGAAGTCGGAGGCTGCCCTAATGCTAGAATAAGGTAAAATATCTAAAGAAGTAACAGACAGCCTCATTGCCAGCATAGGGCGGATATACCAGGCAGTAATAAATGCCAAAGACTAATGGTGACTACTAAATAAACTTACAATAAAACTACTTTTATGTATTATAAACATTAGTCTTTATGTATTGAGGATTTTATGTTTCTATTGTTGTAAATGTGAAGGGGTTTCCTCCCCTGAAACACACATAGGACAAGGGAGGGAAAATCATCCCTGAATTTACTGAGAAGCTATTGTCGTATAACTTAGATCTTTGTAGCATAGAAAAAACGTGTATATAAGTAGACCAGAATTTATATAATGAATCTTTGAGAAATATATCCTTTAATTCAAACAAACACACCTCTTGTTCTTTGGGTTTTCCAACACTATCTAATGAATTCATAAAGCTATAACACTAAGAAAAGTATAAATTTAGAAAAAGAAATCTACATTTGAAAATGCTCTATTACTTTTTACTGTTTACTTTATCAATCAAAACGCCCAGCTTATTGATACTGCTGTAAGCGATTGATCGAGCCACGTCTACTCGAGACTTTAAGTTAGAGCCATCAGCTGGTAGCTTGCTCATTGAGGCTGCTGATGGGTGTGTTGAGTGGGAACGCCAACGCCGCCATAGAGTGCAAAGACTCCTTCAGCAACAGACACTGTGTCCTCACTTCTCCGATCTCTCCTCTACCACCCATTCTTAACCCGTTTAGCAAAGCCAGAAGCTGCTAGTGTAGTTGCAGTGTTTGTGTCCTTGGGATTGTCCGAGTTGCTCTAAGTATCCCTCGTTGGATTCCGAATCACTACAAAATGACAGTTATCTTTTTGGTGTCTTAGTTTCTTTGCTGACTTTATGGCCTTTTGGATGTTTATTCATAATTATCATTTTACCATTATTTCTCATTACTCATTACTCATTAATTTTCCTTCATTTGAGGTTTTGTATTTTTTGTCATTCTGTCTCTCATTCTTCTGTATCTATTTTTTCACTTTTGTATTCAAAGTGTTTCTATGTCTATCCCATCTTTTCCAAACAATCTCACAGGGCGGCTAGTATGCCCAGTGCGCGAATAGCAAATTACACCCAAGATAAAAACTTTGAACTTTATCAGTCAAAACCAATGTTAATTTTATAATGTATTAGTTTCTTTGTACAAAACAATTTCATATTTACTTATTGATAGTCTAAAGTCAATATATCATATGCTTAGAGAGTCATATCAGTGCAAAGGTGGACTGTACTAATTGAGAATATTGTTTTATATTATATGCATATAAAAAAAATCCTAGTCTTAAACTCCAAAAATAAATAAATAAATAATACAATTAAGTGAGATCAAATAAAAAGCAACTGCTCCTGGCGAGGATCGAACTCGCGACCACTGCGTGACTCTGGTATACCTTTTAGTATAAGCACAATGCGCTACCTACTGCGCCACAGGAGCATCTGTCCTGCTGACACAGTGTATGTAGTACTTTCACGCTTCAGCCACCAAGAAGCTGAAACGGGCCGTGCTACTCTTTTGTTCGGTCCCAAACCATGACGTATGCCGAACTCTTCTTCTGTCCGGAGAAGAGAAAAGCACTAAGTTTTCCTTGTCTTTCCGTTTCTCCTTTTTCCCTTTTTCCCTTTTTCGGTGTGCGTTTCTCCTTTCCTTTTTGACACTACATTTTCTTTCTGCACTACGTTTCCCCATCCTTCTATTTTCAGTCCACACGTTTCTTTCTCTACACTATGCTTTTATCTGTTTTCCCTTTTGCAGCCCACACTTTTCTTTTTACTTTTTCATTTTATTAATTACCATTATTTTGTGGCATATTTCATATTATTTTACTTCATTATTCCATTTATATTATTGTGAGCTATGTAATAGTATAATTACATTAAGAATTACACTATTACTACACTATACAATGCTTATATGAATCGACTTTATATATTTTATCCCATGTCATTATTAGTATAAATACCATTATTTTTATTTTCTAATAAAGATTGTCGAATTCTATTGTGATGTTTCTTTTTGAATATCTTCTTTTTTTCTTTTTGTTATTTTGTTATTCTTCTGTTGCAATTAGATCTTTCTGAGACAAGTATTACATTCTGTTGAAGTTACTTGTGAATTATCTGTTGTTTTTCTGTTTCTTGTGCAAGTCAATTCTCTGCATAGTCTTGATTGCACTGTTTTCTTTTGTGAACTTGTTGTTCACCGTTTTATCCATACTTGTATCCTACTATACACCTTTCTCTTTTACATTCACTTGTGAGTGTAAATTACCTTATTTTATTTTAATAGTCAATTCATTTGAAGAGACTATCTCTCTTTTATTATCCAAACCTCACAAACCTCCACTATTGCTGATAACCCTGTATTTACAGCATATTTCTACCTTCTTATACATTTATCACACAAACCTATATACCACACGCATCACTGTTGACACATGGTGTTGTGATCTTCACAGCCTCAGTGGCTGCCAGACATAGTGCAGTGAATTGACTTTGCAAATTTCTCTGTTCCTTGACTATTTCCTTTTTGTGTTGATCTTCTCTTTTCTTTTTCTTTTGGGAATCAATAGGTTTCTGAAGTTTTCTCTACATTGTAAAGAGATCAATGCTCTTGTTCCACAATCTTTTTCCTTTCTTTACTCTTTTTCTACCTAAATCTTTCTTTTCTTCTCTATGATGTATTTCTTTACACTATTTTAGTTGCTTTTCCAGTGAATAAATTTATTGCTATGAGTTTGTCTTAACAAGTACTGATTTAGTTTCTTTCTCTTTCTCCTGAAGAGTCATTGTTATGATGCATTCTTGTAACAAGGCTATTTTAGCTTATAATTTGTAGTTGTTAGTAATCTATGATGTAGTAACAATGCAATTGTCTTAATTCTTTTTCTCAAGGATTGATTTCTTATGAAATCATTCTCTATTTTAATATTTAGTTCTTTAGTGTAAATATCCCATTAATAAAAAACTGAAATAAATGGTCAAATACTAGTTCAAGATTTTCTATTATCTTTCTATTCTTCCATTATCTTTTAATATCTTCTGAGACAAGTTCTGGGCAGTGCTACTGTGATTTCTTGTGAAGTATCATTGTTATTTACAAATCAATTCTTAGCAAAGTATTGATTGCATTCTGTTATTTTTATACCCATGTGTACTATTGTTTCCCTTGTATCTGTTTTTTTTGCTTCACTGTTGTGTTGCAAAGTATTATTCATATTTGTTTTCATAATCTATTCACTTGAACAAACTATTCCCCTACCCTTTTTATTTTTTCACAAACCCTACCTCTAATTTCCATTCCAAACCCCCTTCTTACCTTATTACTCTACCTTTCTATCCATCATACACACACCCATAAGTACCACATGCATCACTTGTTGGTTGTTGTATTTCTTTTTTTATATCAAACTCAATTACACGTTTTTTGAAATAACTAGACCTTCTAAACAAAGAAACCCACATTTAAGCATACAATTAATACTTTGGTCTATATGTACATTACAATGCCTTATTCACTATTCTCAACATCTATAGCAGTAATTCATTATATATTTAATCCACAAGATTCAGATATATATTAACAGCTATGATTGGGTGAAAACCTTTATATATTTTTTATATTAAAGAACAAATTCTTTTGTCTTGATTTTCTCCTCACTTTGTCATTTAAAAAGATTACAAAGAGACTCATTCTATAATCACTTTTATTCTGCAAAGACACTTTTTGTTCTCTAATATCACATTGGTTACCAATTTGGACAGGATAATACTAAGCCCAAAAGTAGAGACAGTGAAGAACGTTTGAAAAGTAAATAAGCTATATTATTTATAAATTACCTTGCTGTGTTCCAACTTCAACCCAAAGACTCTCTATAAATTGGTCAACATGAGTAGTGTGCTTTAACATTCAGAATCCTCTATGAAAGCTTGAGTGCACACAAGTAACATAGTACATCTCTGTATCATCTCACTGATTGGTTGTAACTACAAATTAACCTTCTAAGCTCAAATTATTATTGGACACTTAATGAGCTGCCTTCATCTATAAATCTTTAGTGGATTAAATAAGACCTATCAAAGGCAATTAAAAGTGAAGACATAATAGATGGCTCTATAATGGTGTGCTTATTCAATGAACCAACCATAAGGCTCCAACATGTAGTCTACAATTAGGTAGAACACCTACACCAACCATAAAGCTACACCTATGTAAACTACCATAGGATAAATCATCTACACCAACCATACGTTTGCATCTATCAATAAGCTATACCATGGACTAATAATTAACTACCAAAAGGTAGAATGCCACTGAAGGATAAGCACCCACAAAAAGTATAAATAATGAACCACTCTTCACTTAATAAAAATTATCTTTGTTCAGTCTTGTTATTTTCTACTTGTCTGAATAATCACAGAAACGTTTTAAATGTAAAAATTATGAATTATGTAAATGAATATTTTTTGATTTATACATTTGTTTTGTTTTTAAATGACTATATCTTACAAGAAAAATGTGTTGTACCAAAACATCAGTATATATTTAATACAACATTAATATTATAAACAATAGAAGTATTTAAATATTTGTTAACATACCAAATATACATAATGTCTTAATATTATTCTGAACATTTCTCTTTGATACTCAAGATCAAAGATGACAATCATTACAGCCAGTTTTAAATCTTTTACTATGCCAAATTTTAATCAATTAATGCAACATATTTTTCTCTAAAAGTGCAACAATAATAAGTGAAAATAGTGTATATTGAATCTATAAAAAATGTCTCCCACTGTAGTGGTGGGGTTTTTAAACAGCCCAACGGGGGGGTCGAACCCCCAACCTTGAGATTAAGAGTCTCACGCTCTACCGATTGAGCTAGCCGGGCATCTCTCTTTTTGTCGTTCTCTAATTTGCCCACAATACTTTTAAGCCTGGAGGTATGTGCACAGAGTGGAATAGCTAGTGGTTCTTGGTTTGGACTGAAGCCCACATAGATCAAAGAGGAAGAATAAAAGAGAAGATAGAAGATAATGTTTATTCATTGAATTCACTTGATTATTTATACTAAATTCTACAGTGTACAATTGCACATACATGTCTTGGCTTTATGTTCTCTTCACAGTTAACATAAAGCCAAGACACTATATTGCATTAGCATTTATCTTATTAATTATATTATATTATCTGTGTGTATCCACACAGGATAATGTGTGTTCCAAAAAGGGAAGACATGTGCAGCCAATAGTATTACTCTATTTGATAGCACAGTGTCTAGCATGGACATCCTTGTCAGTTACCAATTTGGACAGGATAATACTAAGCCCAAAAGTAGAGACAGCAATAGGAGGAAACTGAGGATAACAAGGTCTGGACTGAAGCCCATGTAGATCAAAGAAGAATAGGTAAAGAGAGGATAGAAGATGCTTTTTATTCATTCAGAATAGTTGCTTATTTATATTAATTTACATGATACAATTGACTAAGTACATCTTGTCTTCAGTCTACTCAGAGTGAGTGTGACTTCATCCAAGACATACTGTTTGTTTGATTATTTAATAAACCCAAAAGAAGTAATCCATGTGAGTCCAATAAGGAAAAGTGTGCTGGCCAATGGAATCATAGCATTTAGTATAGTGGCAACATTTTGACATGGTGTGTGTGTGGGTTGCAGGCCTCAGCCACCAAGAAGCTGGAGTGGGCCATGCTTCTCTTTTATTTGGTCCCAAACCATGATGTGTGTTGCAGCTCTCCTCTGTCTGGCAAAGACAGAATTGCTAAGTTTTCCTTGTCTTTCTATTTTCTTCTTTTTCCCTTTTTTGGTGTGCATTTTTCTTCTCCTTTTTGACACCACATTTTCTTTTTGTACAGTGTCCCATCATAAAACTAAGATATTTTTTATTTTCCAACCTTTATTTTGCTAAAAAAAACTTTTTTTTTACACATTTCTCATTTCTTCTTTTTCTGCTATCATATTTATCATGTCTAACACCACCAAACAAACCACCAAGCCTCTTGGAAACAGAAAGAGAAATATTGATGACTTTACTTGTAAACTCATTGTACACAAGGCCACCATAAATGGCACCAGACAGACAGACATTGTAGCTATGTTTGGTGTCAGTCAGCCTGCTGTCAGCCTCATCATGAAGAGGTACAAGGAAACTGGCTGTTTCAAGGCAGGCAAGAGCTCTGGATGCAAGTTTGTCTTGAAGAAGAGAGGCAAGAGGGAAGTTTCTTGCAAGGTGGCAAGGGACCCTTTCCAGAGCATGAATGAGCTCTACCAGGGAATGACCACCAAAGTGTCCATGAGCACTTTTGAAAGAATGATGAAGAAGATTGGCCTGTCTTCTTGCAGGGTGATTAGAAAGCCTGCTCTCACCAACAAGCACAAGAGGTTGAGGCTTGCTTGGGCCAGATCCCACCTTCAC